GTTACCTGGACAAGAGAGGGAGGGTGGATGGTGAAATATTAGTGAGAAGGCATAAAAAATGGGAATAGTTACATTTTGTGACAATCCTGTTTGACTGTGTATTTGTCATTTATTTTAGCTGTTGTAAATCAGCTTAGGGCTTATATGATATTAGGTCAATTAGATCAAGCAAACTATGGCATTTATTCGGTGGCAGTTTTCTGTGATCATCAGAGCTAAGGAAAAATGATTCCCTGTGGATTTGACTCTCAATTGCTTGCTGTTGTGTCTAAGTGTGAGTTCCAGCTAGAACCTCACCCAGCACAAAAGATGCCTTCCTGTGTGGACCCCCAAGGGATGCAGCTTACCCAATGATATTCCTAAGAGAAGACTTAAAGAACAGCCAAAGCCCTCCTGTGTAAAACAATGTACTTACACCATTGGTCTCCCATCAGAGTTTGTAAGAAAGCATATGGTGTATAAGAGGATTGCAGTCCGGGCCAGGGTTTTTATAGAAGTCATTTTGTCTACAAAGATAGAAATGAATACCTGTGTAAATCTGTGTTTCAAGTAATTTCTCTTAAATCCAAAGAAAGACATCATTTTTGAAAAAATAGCCTTTTTTGTGAAATGGCTTAGGAATGCAAATGAAGAATTTAGTTCCAAGCCTAATTTTGTTAGCAACTTACCTGCTAAGCAACTCTATAAACTTTGTTCAGCCTTAGATGCCCTCCATCATGATCATCATCAGTCATCATCATCATCATCCTCTAGGTGCCTGTCTCTTGCATAACTAGGTGAAAAGCACCATGTTCTTCCAATATTATTACTACTACTACTATTATTACTACTTTATAGCCTTCAAGTGCTGTGGAATACTTGTATATAACTATGCAAGTAAAAACTTCTGTTATTTTATCTATTTCTTTTGCATATTCTTTAGAATGAAGAGGCTGAAACTTGACAATTTTGCAGAGAGGCTAACTCAGTACTGAGTTCTGTCATTCCCTGTTTAGTTGCATAAGAGAAATCAAAAATTTAGCCCCTCATTTTTTTCAGGGATAATCCTGCATTGCCAGTATGAATTCCCCTCTGATTTGCACATCATCAGCAAAACTGCCATTTGAAATATATTTGGAAAATATTTATTGCTGATGATACTACAACAGGCAGAAATGACAGAGTTCCAGTATCAGTTTCCAGTTTGGATTTTCAGTATTGGCAGTCAGAAAAGGCATCTTTTTGTTACAGCTTAAGAAACTTGATACAGAATAACTGAAACTTAAGAAATATAAAACTCCACAGTACCATTTTTGCAATAGTTTCTGCAGCTTTACTCCAGGTCAGAAAGGCATTTATAGCATGGTCTCTTACATGACATTATGACTGTGGTCCTGGCAGTCCATCTAACCCAATATTATAAATTCAGGACATGAATTCACTTCAAGTTATTTCTAACTCACTGCCTCAGATTTTTTTCATTTCACAGATTTGGTTCAGATAATATAACACTTTGATTTTACTAACACTCACCTTTTTTTAAGGGATTCGGAAAGAAATGAAGGTAAAATGAATAAAGAATCAATGATAAAATGTTCTAAATAAGTCTTCCAGAGAACTTGGAAAGAAAAAGTGGAGTGTACTTACCAGATAGAATGTTAAAGAGATTTCTGGTTTGGGTATGTCGGCAGATGACTGTCTCTTGATGTCAAGTATATTTAAAGACTACTGAATTGGTTTAGTGGACCCCTTAAATGTAACTTTAAGATAGAGCTTCTAAGTAACTTGGAAGCCCTTTTATTGTCTCAGTTGATGTCACTCTCTTGACACACACCCTCCTCCTGACCCTCATGTACCCACCCTCGGATGCTTTTGTTAATTTAGCATTTACAGGGAAAGAGGTCTCAGCAAAAAGAAAGTCCTGGGTAGCTGTGAAGAAGCTAAATGAGGCTGCAAGGTCAGTGATCTACAAATGCCAAATTAAAACAAAATATTGAAAAGCTAAGATCTGTAATGCCCGTGGGAAATAAGAAAAGTCATTTCAGGCCAGCTAGAAGGTTTCTTTGTAAAAGAATATACTGGAGAGGAGCAGAAGCCCCAAGAATGATAGAGGATCCTCTTTTTAAAAAGAAGCTGGTGCCACTGAAAAGTTGTTCAAATGATCTGTTCCACCTGCCCCTGTGAATATCCCTGAACACCTCAAATGTGCTAGGTAGAGTGAAGGCATTTGAAGCAGCTGTGATACAAATTAGTACTTTATGAATCTTGGAAAAGAGTTATAGAGCTCTGCCTACGTTCTAAGAAGGGAAATGTGTAAATCAGGGGTACTTTCCCATATGCATGAAGAAAGATTATTTTTGGCTGCAAGATGTTTTTCCTATATTAGGCACTTCTTCTGGGTTCCAGTGTATTTTTCCAGAAAAAAAACCCAAAAACCCACAAACAAAAGCCAGTTTGCATCTGCACATTTTAACACACAATTTGGAAGATATTATTGCTTCTACCACGAATGCCTTATGTTTATTTTATATTCTCCTGGTATTTCATAAAGAGATAAAAAAATACACTTTATAATACTGCTTTGCGTAGATGTTGTTCTCATGGGAAAAGGAAGGGGAAAACCAGGAACTCCAAAAAAGCTCTGGAGATCTCATGGTTCCCTTAGTAAATAGAAAAGTGAGTAACTGAGAAGTAATGAAGTCATTCACTTAGACAAGTTCAAGAAAACAGGGTAAAGATAGTTTCCAGCATTATACTGTCAGGTGTCAATACCCTTTCCCCCTACACACAAATGCAGGGGCTTTATGGGAATATGTTTTATTAGATTTGTGTCTCTTGTGACCTCCAGGGATACTAACCTGAGGGCAAAAATGTGACTAAATTATTACAAAGGTATATTCATAGTTATAATGTGAATAAAAATGGACATGGCATAACAGGAAAGGATTTGAAAGTGGCAATGAAAAGCTCCATGTTTTAGATTTTACCACAATATGTGTGAAACCTTTAGCAAAACCCTCAAGGCAGGTTTTTTTACAGAGGCCTGGCATTCCTATGGAACCTTTAGCATGGATGGCAAAGCCTGAACTAAAGGATGAGAGTTAGAAAATCCAGTGTCTGTATACAGAACAAAAAATCATGATTTCTCATAAACTGGCAACAACTGATAGCAAAAGCTGGCAATAAACCATCAGCAGCAATTGCAAAAGGAGTGTTAGCAGACTTGAGTTGCCCATGTTACTCTCTGAGTTGCAGTTGTGCCCCCTGCAACACCCAAGTAAATCTGGTAGAGACTCCAGGCTGGAGCTTTGAATAAAACTAATACAGAGGAAACACCAGAGTATGATGCTGTAATTGAGAATCCTGACTTCAGACAACCTATGGTGTGTCAGTATGGATGCCCTTAAACAAGATGTAATTTTAGCTGGTTTATTTGCAGCATGCCTACTCCTTAAAGCAACTCTGATTTCTTTTTATTGTCGTTTTTATTCAAAGGTATTGACAGGTTGTACCTAAAATCTCAAACAAAGATGGCTTAACTTGATACTTAAAAAAAAAAGCAGTTCGCCTCAGATGAGTGAAGATGTAAAAATTAAAAAACATTAAATACGGGCCCCATTATATGTAAAAAATAAAAACTGTGATGGCAAATTCACATTGCAGCTCAAAATTTGCATGACTCTATATGCAGGGGAAAAAAAGTAACTTATTTTGATTTGGATTATTATCCCTGGCATCTAGAAATTATATTATTTGAAAATATAGCTGCTAGTAACTTGCCCAATTTCATCCGTATTTGCTAACCTTGGCATATCAAGTGTGTAAATGGCAGATAGTGGACCAAGTGAATGTATTTTATTTACCAAATATTTTAATTGTGTACACTTCTGTTTGGACACCGTATCCACTGTTTAACGATGAACTGAAAATGGTATTGAGCTCTTTTAATGTTTCAGGCAGATGATGACTCATGTTCAGATTCAATATTTTCTCTTTCTTAAGCATCCTTTTAAAAATTCATATCTCTTTTGGGGACTACTTAGTAGAAGAACTGAACCCAGGAAACCAGGGCTAACAACTGCTGAACTGCTGTTCAGTAGGAGGCCTAAGACTACCCAAATTTATAGACACTACCATGAAAAAGAAAGAAAAAATAAACATTATCCCCTCAATTAAAAGGCATTTCACGATCCTTTGTAGGTATAAGACCTTGCACACAAATACAAAGGCAAAATATGGAAAATCCTGCAGTTTCTTAGGAACTTTTGGTGCCAACAAATGAGGACTGACCTACAGAAGACAACTTTTACTCCTCTTGGAGTAAGAAGAGGGAAAACACAGTGGATTCTGAGCTTCCATATCCTGAAAGCAGCAGGCTAAGAATGAGCCTCAGTGGGTAAGACTGAAAAGAGCAGTCAGGAGAATATAAACCACCAAATGTTTCAGTAACCTACCAGACAAAGGCAACCAATTCAGAAGCTGATTGCAAACTACTGGTGTAGATGCTGCTTTGTCAATACTGACATTTCTTTCCCTTTGGAAGAGGTAACTTTTGATGAGACTTAGGCTGAAGTACAATAATGTTAAAAGATTGTAGTTCAAACATGTGGCTGTTTCTCTATGTACACCATCAAACTTTCTCAAGCAGGATCTAAGCTTGAATCAAGTGTCCTCTTTGAGCATCACCTAAACCCATGGAATGCTATACTGGAAATGAGACAATATAACAATTTTCAATATAGCTATAAACTTCAGAGTTTATTACAGCAAAGGCCTCTCTGTGCCACGAGGCATTACAGACACCTAGCAAGGGCACGGCACTTCTGAGGATGAGGGAGAGGCCGGAAGAACTGGATGCTGGAATCACGGTGTGGGAGGGAAGAGCTGACCACAGCCTTTTCCTCTGAGAGGACTTTTTCTTGATCAGCCAGAAAACTACCCTTCCCTGACCTTCCCTTATAGATTGTACAGATACCTGAATCAACTGGGCATGAAAAAAATCTGTGTTGCTTTGCTTGCAGGTGGTGTGCCACTGACGTTGAATTTGTGCCATTGAATGTAACCAGACTCCAGGGTTGAAAACAAGGGGAAAGCAATTAGACAGGTTTTACAGCCAGGTAGGTGAGCAATGACTGTATTGTAAAAATTCTGAATTTTGTGTGTACTTTCGTGTGTATTCTATTCATTTTGTCAGGGGAAAATATACTGCACCTGCAAATTAAACAAATCCTGAGGTACATTACTGGAATATGGTTAGAGGACACAGAACTGCCTAGAATTATAGTCTTAAGTGACTAAAGCAGATTTTCACAAATTAATTATGTAATCTGGTGTATTCCTACAGAATTCTTCATCCTCTAGATTTAAGGCTTCAGCGCTGCAGTCAGATTATTGCAGTGCTATTTACAAAAGCAGGCTTTTCCCCCATTGCTTGCTCCAGTGGGTGGTTCCAGATGAAATGCTTTCTGACTGCGGCTGTGGCTGGGGGAACACTAGTAAGTCGTTGAGCAAAGTAATTGGTGACACACTGGATGACTGGTGAGGCAACTTTTCTAAATGTGTCCAAGGAATGTTTCTCCCTTGACACAATGAAAAGCCAAAGTGACAGTCAGTAAACTCTTCAGGACCTCGTTTGATTGACGAGAGTTGTGGCTTTTCAAATACCGCAGCGGCGTGTTCGGTAATTTATGTAAGCAATGTTGGGTATCTTCAGGTGCTCTGTGGGTTCATGCAGCTAGATGAAGCTTCAACCACATGCCAGTTTCCAATTAGATAAAAAACAGCACAGAGGCTTCTGTGAAAATCAAAAGATTGCCTATCACAGTTCTGGTTTGTGTCCAATCTGCTTCCTACAGCGTGCTTTTAGCAGCTACTGGCAACTGTGCATTTGGAAATAATTGCTCGCCAGTGTATTTTTTTCTCCAGGTACATAAAATCTTTCATCTGAGAATCACAATGTTCCTGAACCTCCCTGTTATCTTTCTGAGTAAAGTATATACTGATGATGTTTGTTTCTAGGTTATTGGCATTTAGACAAAGACAGGTGAAATGCAAACATCACTGAGGAAAAGATCAGAGAGAAAACAGAAGCTGGTAGATTCTAGTCCCAGTCTAGTCCCACCTGACTTTAAGTTCACTTGCTTTTCTGGGGGATAGACTGAACCCTGTCACAATAATTGTGATCCAGATTATTTCTAGAGTTTTCACTAGTTATATAAAACATATAGAATGTGTGAATGGACACTCACTTTTGCTCCCAGTGTAACTTAGCCATGTTATCTAACAGAGCTGTGCAGTTTGTCAGAGAATTTCTCTATTGACCTGTCATGGACATGCCAGGCTTTGATGACATGATCAGGAATGCATGAGTGCTTGCTCTCTGCATGCCACCCTATACCATGGCTGCATTGAATTTCACATAGCATTACATGGCTGTTTTGAAGACCAAATGGAGAGTCCTGCTTACCTCATCTCTCTCTCATGAGAAGAATCTGAAGCTTGGTGAAACAGCCCAGAGCAGCCTGGAGGAATGCTAAAATGGCTGTTAAGGGAAGTCATGAAGATGAGCTACCTCTGAGTCTCTGCAGACACATATTTCAGTGGTCAGTAACAAAAATGCTCTTGTACATCCTGAACAATAAGAAAAGTTAGTTTCAACAAGTACATATTGGCAGATTTTTAAAGTTCTGTTGGTGAATTGTTAACTGAATATGTAAGTATTTATGGAATTGTGTATGAAAGTATATAAGTTTTGCTTTGGATTTAAAATTCCTGGGAAATTATTTTACAGTCAGTGATCACTTAGCCCTCATGACACAAACACCAATCTGTCAAAGCTCTGCTGAATTCAGTGCTGTAATGAACAACGAGGTAGTTTATGACCTTTCCCACTATATAGGAAGCTGGTACAGTACTCAAAACTGCTGTTGGATGATAGGACTTTTGGGATCCATACCAAACTGAATTATGCATAGATGTATTCACACACATATATATGGTCATATACAGGCCAGAATGTTTGTTGGCTGTTACTGGCTCTAAATGCTTTGTGCAGGCTTGATTTCCCTCTTGGTGACCTGCAGGGCAGTTGAAGCTGTAACAAGGGCTCGTGCCCTTTTTTTGTCATCCTTGAAACCAACGTGGCATCCCTGACAAGCCACACAAGGAGACTGATTTTGAGAGCACCAGCAACCCCAGAGGGAAATGCATCTAATACTGAAACAGGAGTGAGTCTAAAATCCACTCCCATTCCTCTTCCAACCTGAAGCTCTTCACTCAAGACTTCAGGATTCGGGAACCTTCTCTTCAGCATATATCTGCACATATCTGCACATTCCATAAAATCATCTTTTTAAAAACATTTAAGACATCTACTAGAAAAGGTTTGAGTGATTAAATATTAGGAGCAGAGGATATCTGCAAATATTGGGTTTGACCTAACAAAACCATTGTGAGAATGAAAGTGCTAGCTCGGCATAAAATAACCATGGAGACTCGGGATGATGCAGGATGAAACAACGAAGGTCTGCACATTTTATGCAGGTAGCCACGTATTTTTCTGTCCTTTCTACTGGAAAGACATTTCAAGTTCATATTCCCATATTTTCTGCAGCCACTGCAGATAAGCAGATAGCATCCAAGTAAGCAATCTGGAGCTTGATGAAATCTCATGGCAATGATGAGTACAGTTCACAAATGAATGATGACATTTTAGACCCTTCCTTCAATCCAGTGACTATCCTGTAAAAATCTTAGTCCCTAGTCAGATGAAAAACTTAAAAACATAACAGAACTGGTGTGAATGATTGTTTGGGTTTTGAAAGAAAATATTGTACCAGATGCTATATAAACATGCAAGATGTTGCAGACCCTCTCTCTAATAGTGGTGATACAAAGGATGAAAAATATGTTGCATTTTACATGAAGCTTTTTATTACTTGAGCTATGAATTACAGCAAATGAAATGTTTTATGTTATACACTAAGACTTTGTCCCCAAAATAAACCCCTTTAAATGAAAATGTCTAGACAAATACTTATTAAAGATTAACTCCATAGTTGAATATTTTGACCTGAAGTTTCTTCAAGAAACTCTTGATGTATTTGTATGTATATTTGTATTATTTTCTAGAGGGATAACACTGTTTCTGTATTTTCCCTGCTTTATTTAATCCATCCTTTTCACGAAATTTTTACCTAGATTACTAATATTTGTTAAAATCAAATTCTTGAATTAATTATTTTCTTCATTTTTAGCACATGCACTTTATTTGCATTATATGCATCTTTTAAATCCTTCCATGTTGACCAGTAATTTTCTCAAAACTCATTTATCTTCCTAGAATCTCCTGAAACATCAGTGCTAACACGAAAATCTTATAGTAATTCTCAGATTCTAGTTCACTGAGAAGTCCAGCACCTTGTATGCATTTTGAGTACCAGTCACTCCCTGTTCTGCTTTCTGCTTCATTCAGCTCTCTGGTTGGATTGGACAGGGTAGTCTATGAGAAAATGCACTTTGCAGTGCAGCTCTGTGGGTCTCAGTGTTTAACAGTTAATGTGCTCTTATTTCCCTGTTTCTCCATGTTTCAGTTTCTATGTTGAGTCCATGAGATTCAAAAGAAAAAGCTGGAATTTGGCTCTACAGATCATCACCCCTGGCCTTTTGTACTGTGATCTTCACTGGAGGAGAGCAGAATTATTACCTGTAGTGGGAGTTTTGGTTAATTCAGTAGATCATAACCATCAGTGGGTCTCTTACACACTTACATGTGTAAGTCTCCTCTCTTAGAAAGCTATACAGGTTATCTCATTTTTAAATTTTTCATCTTAAAGTGTTTAGTTCTTTCCTTAGCCTCCACTGAAATCGATTCATAGGCTGTGTCTCTTCTTCCATATTCAGGCTCTTCATTTTAATTTTCTATGCTTTTTATAAAAGGCCTAGATCACTACTTCCATGCACTGCACACTGTCATTTTAATCTATGCAGTTTGGACTAGGATACAAACAAATCAAAATTTGCTTATCTTGCACTGTCCATGAATGGCAATATAGAATGCTGAGTAGTGAGGGACCCAACCTGATATTTCTGCCCTCATTTTCTGTTATTCCTTGTTTTACGTTGGGATCTCCCTATCTCATGGGATAGACTAGTGAAGGTAAAAATTAACCAATTCTGCCTAAGCAATCACTTCATTTTCCATGGTTCCTAGTCCCTATTAAAATGGTCATCCCTATAGAATCTTGTCCCTAACTTGATTTTTTTTCTTGATAACCCATCTATTAGGAATAGGCTTTTCCCCATTCCTCCTATTGTCTCCTCTGCCCTCTTCTTACTGCTCACTACCCAAACAAATATTCTTTCAATATTCAAGAAAAGATAAAAGTTACTATATATACACAAATATTTATATAAAAAGTGGAATCTATAAGAAGCAGCCCAAACCTGTGCTATCCTTCTATAAACTGTTCCTTCTCTTCCTGTAAGCTGTACAATTCTGCATGACCTCAGGATTGTGAGTACAGGTTCTAGTTTTTCATTGATTCTTATGCACAATTATCATCCTGCAGGAGTAACAATGGGCTTTGTAGTTTTACAGTGATCCTACAAATGCATCTTAGAAACAGGGAATCATGTAAAGGAAGGATTCTAAGTCACCATCCCTAGCAGTAATTTAGGCAATTACTGTATTAGTTTTCCCAAGATTAATGCCCTTTCTCTTCCCTTTTGCATAAGGAAACCCCTTCAAAAGGAGTCTCTCTGTATCTCTGTAATACAAATGACCTGAAAACCAAAGGCATTGTCAGAAGCTAATAGGAAATAGGGCATACTAATGTGCAAACAGATGCTGAGGCAATAGTAGCATCCCAGACCCCTAAATCTCATTGTACCTGAGAGATGTATAAACATTTGTGAGAGTATAAATTCACCAAGGTGCACAGAGGAGGTGGCTCGAGCTGACTGGTTCCGTTCCGTGCTACATCTGTGCTGTAACTGTAGGAACAGACTCTATAAATAGCCCAACCCAGTTACCTTTTTCAGAACCTTGGGAATGGCTAATCCCCAGAATAGATGAATTGCATAACTCTATTCTCTGAACACGCTCGTTCACTCTGCA